CAGCGCTGGACGGTCGTGCTACTAGTCGTGGAGGGTCTTCCGTATCCGTGGAAATGTCTTGCGCATAGCTGGCGCGTGCACAGCTGACTATAATGCATGCTAACTGCCGCAAAGGTAACAGCTGTGGTTGTGGGGTCTATTTAGTAAACCCTTTTCTCAACAAGAACCTTCGCTGTTTTTTCGAATGCTGTAAGCTGAGCTTGGCATTTGCCCCAACGGCGACGCGTCGAGTTTAGCTACGTGTTTCCGATTGCTGGCCGCTCCCATTGCGACATACTTTTTCAAATGACATACGTCCTATGTCAAGGTACGTGAAACTTTACACTGACTCCGAAACGCCGGTAGATAAAAGAATGCGTCTTATAACAGTAAATAAATTGCTGCAAATCCATGGTTTCAACTGCTTATCCGGAAAAAGTACCGGCGCATGCTACTTACCGGCGTCTTAGCGAAGAGGCTGGCATGTTTGGGGTGATAACGTCATAACTGTCATCACAACTAGCATGTTTTTCCACTTGCAATGCAGTCAAGATAAGTCTGGTATTAGCTGCACCACACGGAACAGGAGATTGCAGCGGGTTTAAGTGTTTTGGACATTATCCTGCGGTTATTCGCGCTATTCACTGGCGTTCGACGCGCACTGAAACCATTTCTGGCAAACATAAGCAATCCACTGTCATTATTTACCTTGCAACACGTCAGTCTCCGAAAACATACGTGCCAGTTGTGCATCTGCAACATTGAGTGTCTTTATTGCTTGATATGGTATGCAATGGAAGTGACAGATTCAATGACTCCGAACTAGATAGAACTACACTTGCTTCTCTAATCACCTCGTCGGAATGCCCGTCTCGACATCAGCCACCGCGGAGCAGTGCGCCGTTTTTGTCTCGTGATCTGGTGTTCCACCGCGTCAGCCGGTCTCCTCTCCCATCGCTCACACGACTATATCTTAGAGCGGTTTGGCAGCCTCCCGGGCCTCGTACAGCAAGCTCGGTAGTAGTAGAGCAGCGGGTCCTCCAGCAGCGGCGCCGCTTCTCCGGCGGGCGCGCGCTGCGACGGGCCGCACCTGCGCCAGGTTATGGCCGAGCCGCCACCGGCACACGCGCGGCGCGCACCGCCTGATCGGAGACGCGCAACGCGCCGGTGGGCAGCGCGCCCCACGCCGCCGGCGCCGGCGGCGGCACGCCGGCGCGCTGCAGCGGCCGCTCCGGGTACTGCTGCGCCGGCCGCCGCGAGCCGCCACCAGGGGCGCTGGCGTCGCGCGCCTCCACCACCACCGTCTCGGCGTCCGGACTGCTGAGGCCGGCGCCGCTCTGCACCGGCAGCGGCTTGGGCGCACTGGAGACGGGCTGCGCCGGCGCGTCCGGCGCGCCCGGGTAGATGGGCACGATTGGCTCGTCCGGCTCGTTCGCCGACGGCTCGTACTGCGCGGGCTCGTACTGCGCGGAGTCGTACTTTCGGCGGCTGGTCGGGGACAGCGGCCGGCGGCACCTCGTCTTCCAGCGAGATTGACTTTCGGCGTCCAGGGGAGCGATCTCCTCGGGCAAGGGCACGTACTCCTGCGGAGAGGGTTTGGTAGGCGTGAGGGCAAATGCGGGCTAGTTCGAGATCAATGGCGGAGAAGGTGGTGTTCCGGAGGGCAATCAAATGCGCAGCAAACGCTGTAGCGCGGGACGAAGGCACAAATATGCGTCACGGACGTGAAACATTTTAAAATTGCGCTAATTTGTGTTTGATAATTGCACATATCACGGCACATCATGCAATCTAGCATTCAAACTCTCCAAAAGTAGGTTCTAATTCCCGTAGATTTACAGAAATACCGCAACACTGAGTGCCGCACCTTGCTTCCACCCAACGCCCAACACAGCGTCCCCTTTACAGCCGAGCCTTGCTCACGCAACCCCAACACAGCGTTCCCCTACCGCCGAGCCTTGCTCCACCCAACGTTCAACACAGCGTCCCCTTCACCGCCGAGCCTTGCTCCACGCAACCCCAACACGGCGTCCCCCGGCCGCCGCGCCTTGTAAGTGACCGGTGCTGACCTCTCGCGGTGGCTCGTTGGGGTCGATGGGAGCTCCGATGGAAGCGGCCGCCGCCCGCTCCCACATGCTGCGCCACAGCCGGATGTGCGCCGCTTTGATCGCCGCCACGGCGGGCTCGTCGCGCGGCGCCCGCGCTGCCAAATCTGGCAGCACGGCTCTCTTGACGTGGAAGCCCGTGTCGTCCGCGTAGTACTTCATCGACAGCTTCTCGTCTGGGCGCAGGTGCGGGGTCACGCAGGGGTCAGAGGTCAGAGGGAAGCTATGCTCGGTGGAACGGGGGCTACATACAAATAGCTTCTGTGAGTATTTTCAAACGTCTGCAATAGGTCCGTATCGTGCCACCGCAGTTCCGTGAGATGATGATGATGATGATGATGATGAGAAGAGCAGATGTCACACGACGGGCATCACTTAAAAACGGACAGTTGAGGCTGGCTTAAACTCCAGGTCATGAGCCGCCCGTTCACCCGTGGCCATGAACCACACGCTGTGCTTTCCACCGTGCTCCACACCTTATATGATTCACATGCGGATGCGACAACCTAAATGCATGTCAAGGGCCACATTCGCGCCATACGTAAAGAACAATGCAAACGTTCTCTGACGAGTGGTCAAAACTGGACCATGCGCTTTACCGTCGCCGCCACACACGGAGTTCAGCGGTCTGCTTACCGTTGGGGTCCCTGTAGGAGTAGCTGCCCTGTATGCGGCCGTTTTCATCCACGTATTCCTCACGGGCGGAGCCCGGGTGCTTGTAGCTGTAGCGATACCTACCCAGTCCGTCTTGAGCATGGTACTGCGTCCTGCCGATGCACACGACATCCAGTTATAACCGGATCCGCTTCAAAGATGGGCGCATGTTGCTGTCAGCTACCGCGTCGATATATTTTAAGGACATTTTTCAGGATGTGCTGACGGGTCTTGGGTAAACGGAATTGACAGAGGCGCTGTTTGTCAGAAATGTGCCCAAAACCATATCGGGTGCCTTTTCTGGTGCTGGTTCGGGTCTCAACACACTCCAAAATACTGCTCACACTCCAAAATACTGCTTATTTTGAGTTAAATTTTACTCTGCCGAGTTATCGGTCTTCGATATCCCATAAGGTACGGGCTGAACGACGTTAAATCGCAAGCACGGTTGTCTTGTGGATAAGCAAAGCGCTGTCTTTGAACACTTGAGCACTAAAATATTAGAGTACGGTACCCCCTGGCATACTTGAAGGTCGATAACTCAGCAAAACAACTCTGAACTCATGGTGCCGAAAAACCAGGGACTAAGAGCCTTTATTTTTTAATTTTAAGCATGGTTCTCATGGTAAACTCATCAGTTATGCGCTCCTACCAATGCAAATGTATGTCAACAAAGGCATCGGACGGAAGGTTCACAGGAACCAAAGCGCGGGAAGTTGACAAGTTTGCCAGGACCATATCCGATCAATCGGCAGAACTTGAACTGGAACCAGGTGACCTTGAGCTGCTGAGCTCAAGGCAAACTCCACTCGATGTGCTGTTTCCACCGCCTAGAGATGGGCTACAGCAAGCCGGCGCGTATTCAGGGGGAGCCGCCCGGCGGTGTTGGCACCTCAATCTCGTACACGCATGGAAGATACACCATAACACCGGTTTGGGGTGCCAAAAAGTGCCAATTTTTGTGCGTGTTCTGCATTTGTGAGCTTAACGTCGAAACCTCATTACTACCAGCGGTTTTATAAGCAAAGGACACATGCCACTTGTCATCAAAGAGGGTCCCATTTCGCCCATTGTAGCTGCTGGCCACGAAACAATTGGCTACACAACAGTGCTAAAAGAAAGGAACCCTAAAACTTTGATAAGTAGATGGACGAAAAATAAGAAGCTAATTAGATACCAAGGCGTGTTCGCCGTGAATTAGATGCCAAGACGCACTCATCAAAAGTGTTTAAGGCTATAGATATTAGCATACAGCATAGATATTAATACCAATTTATAATAAGATATCCTAACAGCTCATCGAAGGCCAAACAACCATGGGATGAACATCGGATAGGCACACAGACACACTGAAGTGGCGAATATCTCAAATCGGATGCCATCAGGCTCAAAGCTGCAAGGGAAAAGCGGCACGCGACTGATCAAAAACTTTTCAGCTATTATCAGCTACTGGGTAAAGATACATATGAAAGTCTCGTATTAGATATTATCAGTTTGAGAGCTCCAACACTGACAGCCGGTCTGAGGTAGAGGGAGAGAAAACCGGTAGGAAATTGGTGGAAAGCTTCCACTTAATGCACACGATTAGAGCGATCACAGACTGGTGCCTCCCCATTAATTGCAGCTGCAACGCGGAGATGGATGCTATCTATGAGTGGAAACATATTTTGTGTGACAAGAATGTGGGCTTGCATTCGAGAAAAGCTTTTCTTGTGTTTGCTTTGACGCTTATCAGCGGCCGGCTAAGATACCAGAGACGAGCCAAAGGAATGGGGGGGGGGAGGGGGGATAAAGATTAGACGGAGGCTATTTCATTCCCTTGATCTAAGAAATTCATATTAGATATTGAGCGTTTTTTCAGAAATTGTTCTAAATTCACAGGAGATTGGAGAAAAAATGGCAAATGTCCGCCAGGTAAGTCTTGGTCACGCACCTGCGGTAGTAACACACTTAGATCATGGCGCCCGTGCCACGACAGCGCGAATCACCCTAAAATCTGTCCGCAAATATTGGTCGTGCCTCCATAAAAATTGTGCTTGGCATGAACTCCGATACCATCTCCGTATGCTATGCGATACAGTTTGTATAAAGACTTAACGTCTGCGAAACCGGTACGAAGTTCATTCCCTGTGGTACAGGTCGTTCCTGCCAGGGTGAGAAGCAGGCGACTCCATGTACCTTTTTGATTAATTATTTACTTATATAATTAATTTTTCAGTTGAGCATGACATCCTCCGTGTAACTAGCAACGTTCCCCTTCGCATTTTTTAACACACAACCTCCACTTCTGTATTTTCTTTTCGTGCTGTTACGTTACATGACCAGTTGGAAAGTGCCTCGCTTTGTTGTGTTCCGCTTTAATGTCGTGTGATCAGCCCGAAGTAAAAGCCGTGTCATGTTGCATCCTGCCATGGCGACTCAGCATTCGGACGTTGAAACTAAGAGGTCAATTAACTCACCGAGAGCTAACCACAAACATCGTCGCTAGCGGGCTAGACTGGAAACGTCGTCATTCATTCTGAGTACTTAGTAAATCACTCATAGTCGATTACCCAGTTTTTTATATTCGCAGGGTCACGAAGCAGCCATTATGTTTATCGGGTGCGCCTTCTTGGCGCATTAACCCCATCTGCGATATGGCTGGGGTTGAGCGGTGTTAAGCGCCCATGGCGGTAATATGACTGACACAACTCCGCCTATGATGGACGACCATAATTAAAACAGCTGTTTGTCAGGCGTAAGGATACTGTTGCTCAGGGCGATTTCAGCTGTCAAGCTCGTTTATCGTTCGTTTCCGATCAAATCAGCTCCATGCCAGTGCCGAGCGACACTGGAATAAAAAACACACATTACCCGGCACGGACGCCCATCAAAGGCATGGAATGGCAATGGATAGTTCGGTGGCAAAAACCAGCCAAAGTCGGAAGGACGCTGGAGGAAGGCGCGGTCCAGTGCATCGAGGCCGAGGCAGCATGCCTCAACTAACTCACGTTCAGACCGCTGAAGGTTAAACCATTAGGATACCTCTGGCCAAACCCTGTCTCGTGAGAGCATCAGCAATCTTTGCAGGGATATCGGTAAACTTAACGCGGTGTCGTGATATTGGAAAACGTCTTCAGCCGTGACGGTCATTAGCGCTGACGCCAAAAATGCTTCCGTTGTGTCTAATGCCAGTGCCAGTGCAAATCCAGTCGGAGCGGGACACTCGCGTGTCGTTATGTTGGCGGATGCATGGGGCCAGCCCTGCAGCAGGATACGTCAGCATCGGTGCCAAAAGCTCAGAAGGCGCCGGCACCCTTGTAGTGCGGCGTGTGGCGCCACGACATCGGAGGCAATGGTCCTTGGTTGGGTTGAGAACAATGGCGGGTTGGGCCCGCTTCGTGGAGCAACTGACCATGCTTTGCTGAGGAGTCACACGCTGGGGAGGTTTTGGTAGCTGGGATCCGCTGTGGGTGCGAGCCGTGGGTCCGGCGGACTTCTTTTCGGCTGTTCCGACCGTGAGATTTGGGGAGATGGCTTGAATTCGGCTCGAATGAGGCAGAGGGTCAAGAACATCATGCTCCGTCAGGATTATGAGCGCGGAACAATCTGGCAGGAATATAAGCGAGGGTGTTCGGAGAGGAATGTGGGTGAGGAGCATTCTGTCCAGTCCAAGCATTGCCGACCAACTCCAGCTGCCATCCCATTCGACAACAAGTGCATGTGAGGACATCTAAACCACAACGGGCCGTATGTGAGGCGCAGTCTGACTGAACGGACTTGCAGCCGGCCGCTCACCCGACCCCACCGTCTGCCTCTGGTGCCCGGCCCTGAACAGTGACGGGGAGGCGTCGCAAAAAACTAACGGAACGTGTGCTAGCCCGGGAGGAGCGATACTGGACGCCATCAGCGCTGGTGCCAGCGCGATACTGGACGGCATCAGCGCTGGCTGACAGCGCGATACTGGACGCCATCAGCGCTGGTGCCAGCGCGATACTGGACGGCCATCAGCGCTGGTGCCAGCGGATACTGGACGCCATCAGCGCTGGTGTCCAGCGCGATACTGGACGCCATCAGCGCCGGTGCCAGCGCGATACTGGACGGCATCAGCGCCGGTGCCGCGCGATACTGGACGCCATCAGCGCCCGTGCTAGCGCTATATTGGACGGCATCAGTACCTGTGCTAAGGCGAGATTGAATGACATCAGTGCTGTGCTAGCGCGAGATGGATGGCATCAGTGCCTGCGCAAGCGCAGATCGGCAAACGCTTAGCAAGAATGCTCCCCAGCCTGGCGACGGCGGTTGAATTGAAATGACTGGATCGGATACGGGCCAGGTTTTTTCGCGAGCCGATGTTCATGATGTTGACCTGGTGATGTTGACCAGTGTGGCCGGCTGTTGGTACGAACATCACGTCGCAGCGGGACGCGTCTAATTTGTTCCCCTCCCGCCGTGCTTTCAATACCGCTGCTCGCTGTGAGCTCGCTGACCCGACTCTCGGTCGGGCGTCTGTTGCCGCGTGACTCTCCCATCGCCACGGGATGCCACATGGGCAACGGCGCTGCCGCAATTTGTGATTCGCTCAGCGACTCAGTGACGTCACGGTGGTCGGCTGAATTCGAATTAGTCATGGAGACACGCGTGCATGACAATCACCTCATCAGCCATGCTGATGTATCACGGTGGTTGGCGCTGAGATGAGAGGCGTTCTTCGCTGCTAAGCTGAGCCTGATGCACTTCGGCAGATGGTTGTCAAGCCCGTCTTTTTTCCCAACTTGTGCCACCGCATGCCACGGACACCGTTATGCTCTGCTATGGCCATGGCATTACATCGGCTTTAGAAGAGCTGGCGATGATGCCAGGTGACAAACCCTGGTCCGATGGGCACATCCGGACAGCACTTGAGAGTCATGAGCTGGGGTGGTGGGGAGAAGAGTGAGACGGGAGAAGGGGGAGGAGCTGCAGGTGATGGGATATTCGCCGCCCACCCATCCGTTTAATGATCTCCATCGTGCGGCCGGAGACCTGATCGGCGATCTCCGCCGTGAGCCAGAAACGCTAAACGCTCCGCTGATTCAGTAGTTTTCCGCCGTTCATGATCCGTAGAAGCGCGCCATATCAGATAAGGGGCCCAAGCTAATGCGAAGTCGATGCCAAGAGCATCCGACAGCGAGCAGGCGGTAGGGGAAGGGGGGGGGGGAGCCGCTGCAATCCGGTGCCGAGAGTCCATCGCCAGAGGGCGAACTGCGAGCCAGCGCCGCTGCCGCCGGCTGAGATCGCAGAGACGCCGGGACTGATAAGAGGCTTTTAGACGATCAACTCCATTTTGGACATGTGCACGTGGTCGGGAATAGAGGCACGGGCACGGGCACGGACACGGGCACGGGCACGGGCACGGGCACTGGCACCGGTACGGGCACGGGCACGGGCACGGCACGGGCACGGGTACGGGCACGGGCACAGGCACGGGCACGGGCACGGACACGGGCACGGGTACGGGCCACCGGTACGGGCAACGGGCACGGGCACGGGCACGGACACGGGCACGGGCACGGACACGGGCACGGGCACGGGCACGGGCACGGGCATGAGGCACGGGCACGAGACACAAGAGTCACCGGAGCGAGGGAGGACTCACGCCGTGGCCGGCTTGCCGTCGGCGTTCTTCCACGGAGTGGCTGATCTCGTAGGCGAAGCCCTCGGGCCCCTGCGAGGAACGCAGCAGCGGGGAGCCGTCGGCCGGCGCTGGGCCCAGCCGCTCGCTGGCTAGCGGCAGCGCTGGCCGGCCCGGCTCGACGGCCGGCGCCACCTCCAGGACGATGCTGTCGTACTGGGCCGCGACTGGGGCGCTCAGGCACAAAGCCAGTGCCAGGCACGGCCCCACCTGCAACGGCGGTGAGGGTTGGTGACGGCGCTGGCGGCGGCGGGCTCGTGAGAAGTTCGCCCTCAATGGGCCATAATCCATCCAAAACGGTAACCATAATTATGAAAAGGGTTGTAGGCTCTTGGCAATGTTGTACCATGATGGCTTATCATTTTTGAGTACACCAATTGCACGTCATCCGTAATCACTGATGCGATAAAATTAAGACGGCTGGTGTGTCGTTCTAGTACCTCACGCGATCAAAAATTTGGATGACGGATAAAACAAAACAACATTAAGGTACAAATACGTTACGAGCCTACCGGTAAGCCTGTCTTTGCTCATGTGTTTGCGGGTAATCAGCGTTTAGACCTTGCTGCGGATAACTTTGACACGACTCCGCACGCGCGGCCAACGGCCTGTTCCACAGCACTGCCGCGCAACATACGCAAAAGCGAAGAAACCGTAACAACCGTCCAACGTGCAACACCGGGAGCAGTTTGTTCTGTCAAGCGCCCACAAGAAGCCACAGCTTGGTCATGCCAATCGCGCAGTCAACCGGCGATGGCCTTGCAGCTGCCCTTGCGGTCTGCCTTGTGTCGCTCCAGGGCTGCAAGCGAACCGACGCCGCCGCTGCACGTCAGGTCCTGCCTCCTCCCTCCCCTTTTCCTCGAGACCTCCATACAACATCTGCAGGCGGGGGCCGAGGGCATGCTCGTGAGCCTGTCTTTGTCAGGGACGAATGCTCAATAGCGGTTGGAGCGTTGAGGGATGAGCGCCATGCTGGCCTTCCTTTGGACTCGCCCGACACGGTCAACGAAAGCCTTAGACACTTTTTCCGGTTTAGGGAGACTTTGCTCTGAGAGCATAACTGTTGCTGGTTCTGTCCCCATTCCTCATAAGCTGCTTTTCACGCCCCCGAAGTCGTGTGACCCAGCCGTGACTGTTCTCTACTTAGGCTAGTTTTTTCTCCGTACAGGCAGTCGATTCATCTGATGTCTAAGCACCGAATTCTAGGAACCTCTCTGCATTGACACCATGGGTTACACACACGCTTAGTACTCGTAAGATCTGTTGGTCAATTTCCACGTCAACTCGCGGAAGCATATATATATATATATATATATATATATATATATATCTATATATAACCAATTATATCAGTTTGAACACGTGGGTCTACCTCCGTGTGAATTGCCCGCAAACAGAGTGAGAGCAGTATGTATCCGCCCATCACCAGGTGCGAATAAGAACTGCTTCTCACAAGAACTTACAAACGTCCTTTGTCATTATCGTCGACCTGTGGAAGGTCTATTGCGTAAAAAGTGATTAAGGCCCATGCCATTCGACGTCAATTGAAGCTAAATCAGCACCCGTTCTCCACGAAACAACGCTCGCCTAAACTATCTCCTCCCACCCCGCCAAGGCCGGACGTTCTGGCCGGTCGTCCGCCGGACGCGGTCCGCTGGCCGGATACTGCGACATGCGCCACTAGAGTCGCCATGCACCACGAGTCAAGGTGAGCTACAGGGACGCGACCGGTTCGGGTCGATGAACTTGACCTTCCACGCCACCAGTGCACACGCCTGTTGATGCAATGCAGCGAGCGGGCCGGACTTATACGGCGGGTGGAATCAGAAGCGACAGCCTCGTCGGACTCCATTCCATTTTGCTGGAACAATGTTTCCGTCCATCGCCGTCATCCATCAATGCGGCCGAACTAATCCGCCACTGCAGCGGTGAGTCCCTTCAGCTGCAGGGGCGCACTGACGAAGGACAGCTGTGACGCTCACAGGTGTCGAGGCACCGATGCCAAGACGTTTAAACCCTACACGGGCTCACATTTTGGACTTTAACGGTCTGGTGGCCAGGACCAGTGCTACCGCTAATACGGAGCTCCCTGGGAGCTGCGCCGAACTGAGGCACTAAGATGACGCTGCCGGTCCCTCTGGTGGGCCGACGACGGACATCATGCTACGGCACGCCTCGAATTAGTTTCACCACCATCACGCTGACCGCCTCGAAGGTGAGACCAGCTATTTATCGATGCGCAATGTCGCTGTTGTCATCAGCGACGCCACAGCCCGCCAGCAAAGCTGGTTTGCGGTGGGCATTGAACTCCAGACCTTTCGATATTGAAACGATTACTCGGCACCACTCCACTGCTTATGCATTCGGGAGGAGTGTTGTTAGTACCGAGCACAAGCTCGCGGAGAGCACAAGCCCTCTTCGCCCGAGACAAACCAAAACACTGGCAGACTGAGCGGACCGATAGAACAAAGACGTGAAGCTCAAAGACGCCCAGCGCTGCTGGTATCCTCAAGGCCTTCCCGAGAGCCCTGCCCGTGAGGTAATGAGATCACCCCAGAGCCACCTGCGAAGCCTCTCAGCGCAAAGAGATTGATTACACCGGCGACGGCGGGCCCGGCTTCCCCAAATGGACAACGCGGAAGCTGCAGCTAAACCGGGATCTCGTCAGAGGGCATCGCGCGGAATCTTGCGGTCCTCAACACCCAAAGCATACTTCTCTTCCGGGAGTTGATCTTGAGGCGCATTGGCCTCAAGCCCAGCTGAGAATGCGGACAGGGGCTTGCTGTCATGGGAGTTACGAATGCTAATACTGTTGTTGAACTAGAAGCCACGGTCAGCAAGGTCAGCAGGAGAGGCCTGGTGTGGCACGGTCATAGCACCGGTTAACATTTAGCCTGTGGAGATTCAAAACGCATTCGCATGCGGACACATTTAGCTTACATCACGCTCCTCAATATTTTGGTGACAGGCTTTTGCTGTACGCTAGTTAACGCTCTGGTGACATGTTTGTACTGGGCAAAACCGCTGGTCACGTTCGGTTACCAGCATACCTAAATGACAGCTGAAAAACAGCGTTCGAATTTTGAGTTGCGGGTCCAGCCATCTGCTCGCGCACTGCGCTATCAGGATCTGGTCTAGTCACATGGAAAATGCTTGGCACCGGTAAACTGTCAAGATCGCTCCATAGCCAGCGAGGACCGCTATTACGATAACCCCCTTGCCGAGATTCTAATGCCGGTGTGCGGTTCAGCCGTGACCCAAATCTCTCAAAGCCGACAGCTCGTGAACAGAGCGGGTATTGTGTTGCATGTCGCTATCAGCAGTTCCAAGAGCGAGTGCCATGTGATCACGGTTCATGAGTATTCGATAGTGTAGCGGGATAAAGCCGCCATGCCACAGACCGTGATAAATCTCCATTTACCTGCTTACGACGATCTGGAAACGGCTGCCGATTTCCAATAGTGTCGAAGCAATCTAAACAGTTCTTCTGGATTGGACCGAAACATGTTCGACACGGTTAGGAACTCGATCGAAAGCAATTAAGAAGTTCATGAAAATCTCCTTGAGTCGGAACAGGAACCAATTCAGCTGCCGTGCACTGCTTGAACCCATATTCGGGTTTTCAAGCAGTGCACAGCAGCAAGTTCGGGCCAATACGTTAGTGAGTAGGAATTGGGATCAGTTCCGTTGATGAGTAGCTTATTCCAATTCGATGCTCAGGTGAGGGCTGCTTATTGAAGTGCGATAGACATGGCCAAAAAAGCATCGCATAGGATAAAACAAATAAACCACCATAACATACGTACAACAAAATCAAGGACAAAGTCAGCGTGGCATGTTTCAAATTTGGCTCATTTCATAAAACGTGTGTGTACAATTACGCCAGCCGCATCCACAAGCAAAGTCGGCAGCTCTTTCGTGTGTACGTAGCATGGATGAAGCTCCATGTCTTTCCAGAGGGGCGGGGGGGGGGAGGGGCATGATGCTCCCTCAGTAATTCCTTTGGTCCTCCCAACCTGAAACTTTGGGGTGCCGGTTAGGTGTAATGTTTAACACGTTTGCGTTAACCACTACGCGTCTGGGAAACCAGAGGTACGGGGTTCGATTCCCCGCGGTGCCCGCCCTTCCTGCCAGGGTAGAGGCAGGCGACGCCATATAGCCTCAGCAGCTGGGTGCGTCATAAAGCCCCAATCACACACACAAGCTGAAGCTTTGGTTACCATAAAAGGAACTGAAATTGACTACCACTCCTCATGCATATGTAACGTTGGAGGATATCTGACAAATGATAATACAAACTATCTCCTCTCCAAACGCCGGCATTCGATCCTGGTGCCCACAGGGACATGGATCGCATCCATCTTCGGCAAGAATGGACAGATGGGCTGGAGATGGACAACCACCCTCATTGAAATGCACAGCTGAATTATTAGCTCCATATTCAGTGCTAAGCGGACTGGCTAGATGTGCCAAAAATGCGCCTATTGTTCTCCGACAAACATGTAAACACACCAAGATAAAACGGGATGCACTGCGCTGATGTAAGCGATATAGCGGCATGGCTTAGGTTAAATGTCAAGGAATGCACAAGTGCGTCTTTCACTTGTTATTGCATAGCTTGTTTTTGCAATCTGGTTTTCTAAGACATCTTTCCCCGCTACCCTGTCTCAGTGTAGGGCAAAATCAAATCTTGGACGGTGTCACGCCGGAAATATTAAACTGGTATGTCCGTACTAGCCCTGTTCCAGGTGCCAGGAGTCACAACCTAATTAAGACCTCTCCCTTAGCTTCGACGCAATAAGATCCATGACGGTCTAGTACGATCTTTCACTACAAGGAATGCACATGATTTGCACATGAGTAGAATAACGCTGCGTCATACATAACTGACATCGACAAGAAGAGCCATTGAAATGCCTCGCACGACTGAGGCCAGCAGGTCATAACCTCTGGTGGAATATATTACGATTGGTTGCAGCAATCGCCATTCAAATAACGCCGGTCCGCAAAGGCGGTATCAGAATGGTTGCGCG